ATGGGGACTTAATTGGGGGAGGGGGAGGGAAATGGGAGGCGGTGGCGGGGAGGAGGCAGAAATCTTTAATAAATAAATAAGAAAGAAAGAAAACAGGCTGAGCAAGTCATGGCGAGCAAGTCGGTAGGCAGCTCCCCTCCATGGCCTCTGCATCAGCTCCTGCCTCCAGGTTCCTGCCCTGCTTGAGTTCCTGTCCTGACTTCTTCAATGGTGAACAGTGACATGGAAGCATAAGCCAAATAAACCCTTTCCTCCCCACGCTACTTCGATCACGGGGTTTAAACATAGCAAACTGTAACTACCAGGGGCTGGAGAGATGGCTCAGTGGTTAAGAGCAATGGCCACTCTTCCAGAGGACCCAGGTTCAATATTCAGCACCCACATGGCAGCTCACAACTGTCTATAATTCCAGTTCCAGGGGATCTGACACCTTCACACCAATGCATATAAAGTTAAATATTTAAAAAGAGAGAGACCCTAAGACACAACTTCAGAAAATAAACTACATACTCTTCAGAAAGATATTTGAATACTAATATTCTTATTCATAATTTAGAATAGTGTTAGCTACGGGATGATCAAGAGTATCCTCACTGGCCAGGAGTGGTGGTGCAAGCCTATAATCCCAGCATTAGGAAATTAAGGTTGGAGGCGTGGGAGTTCCACGGTGAGTGTAAGGCCAGCCACAACACTGAAATAGAAGATCGTGCCCACTGTAAAGCACAGACCTGGAGATTTTACATGAATTGTCTTTTGTCACCTAGCTACCACAGAACCAGGATGAGAGCGCACATTTACTGACCCCAGTGTTCTTAGTACTTCTAGATCCTGATACAGTATTTGTTCAATAGGAAATGATTTATAAGTGCTTGTTGAATGAGTCAGTTTACAAAAAACAATTCTATGTCAGATAGGACAGAACATGTCTATCATTCCATAACTCAGAAGGCTGAAGCAGAAGGATTCCAAATTTGAGGCCAGTCTAGGCTACAGGGAAGTTCAAGCCCAGTCTTAGGCTATATAGGAAACTCTGCATAGAAAAACAAGAGCAAAAAAACAAATAAACAAAAAACAAAAAAAAAAGAAAACAAGAACAAAAATGTAATACAGAATTAAGACGAGCTACTTAATATAAAAAACACAATATCCATCCATAAATTTTCCTGAAGAAAGAAAGGTTGGTTATTCCCCTCCCTGCATTCCTCTATATCATCCCTGTTTCCTAGCAAAGAGCTGTAAATCCAAAGGGCAATTCAACAAAGTTACCCTCAAGTTCTTTAATACTGGTCTTGTTTCCAATGCGATGTCATGACAGAACAATTTACATAGGCAAAAAATACATCTTATTATAGAACTAATGAAAGTCATCAAAATGAACACAAGGAAATGAAATGTTTTCATACCTGTCACATTGTTGCATTATGGAAATTTCTTTAATTATTTCCTGAAGATCTGACTCAACAGGTACTTGCTTAATTGCAACAACTTGACCAGATTCTTTATGTATTGCTTTAAAAACACTTCCATAAGACCTTAAAAAGAAAGCCAAGACATTATTTTTTCATATCAAACATTGTATTAAAGACTACTGTGACTTTTATGCACATTTTGCATACTGTATTTTCTAACTTAAATCATCATGTAAATGATCAAAAGCAAAAGTGAAAAAATAAGTTAATGAAGCAGCTTTAGTGTTCAAATTACAAACTTAAAAGTTATTATATAAAAAGAAAATGAGTTGCTATTTTTTATGGGAAGGTGGAGCAAGAGGTGGAGGAGAGGGAAGGAGGCAAGCAGACTAACTTACGGTTTGTCAATTCAAATGCAGCTTAAAGAGATAGAAAAGGAAATTACAAGCATGAAAATTAAGAACAATCCACGCCCAAGTCTCAGGTTAAGAGAAAAAGATCAACCAAGCAAAAGTCCCAGGAAGACTTTCACTGTGAACCTTTTTTTTTCTTTTTTGATTCTTTTGAGACAGGATCTCATGCAGTCCAGGATGCCCTTAGACATACTGTACAGCCAAGGATGATCGTATATTCCAAAGAGTGGGATTTCAAATGGGCACCACAACACCCAGCTACTGTGAACCATTTAACACTAAAGTAAGTAGAGAATCCTCAGCCAAAACCCCTTCAAACGCTTTTTTCCATATTGTCCCTTCAAGAGAAAGACCACATGCTCATTCACATAAAAGGACTTAATCTCCACTTCAGCTCTTGAAAGTCTGTCAACTAAACATTCAGTACTTTACAGAGCAGACACAATGAAGAAAGAAGTCCTCTGTAATTTAATTATCAGCTGCAAACCAAAGTTTACAGCTACTGAGTTCTAAAAGAACACCAGGTACTATGACAGGGTTTTATAAGCATCATCAAGGTGTTTTTTCTCTCTCTATTATAAGAAAAAATATAATTCACATCACTGAAAGATAAGGATACAGACTCATAACTAACAGGTCCACACTTCATCTTCTGACTCCAGAGACCATGGTCTTCTCATGACATTGCTTCCTCAGAAAAGAACAAGACATAGAGGTTCCCTGTGTTTCCTAACATTATAAACATGCAATAATCACTCCCAAATTTACAATGTTTAAAATAAGTAGCATTGTCACAAGCAGTCAAGAAGATGGTTAACCAAATGAATCGATACTACATCCTGCTGCTTAGGCTCTCAGAAGAGACTTCATACAGTATGATCACAGTCACACTTGGGGAAAGAGGCGGCTGTATCTTTCCTCAAAAACTAGGGTAGAGGCCGGGCGGTGGTGGCGCACACCTTTAATCCCAGCACTCGGGAGGCAGAGGCAAGCAGATCTCTATGAGTTTGAGGCCAGCCTGGTCTATAGTGTGAATTCTAGGACAGCCAGGGCTACACAGTGAAACCCTGTCACAAACAAACAATTGAGTGGGGGGTGTATGTATATACAGAGGGGGAAGAGGAAGGGAGGAGGAGGGAGAAAGAGGGAGAGAGCTTACTTCTCTAAAAGGCAGTGTTACCATATCTATCATAATCTGATTTTTAAAAATTGACATTAATTGCCAAATTGAATTGGTATTAGTAGTGCTGAGCTCCAGCAGACATACTCCAGCTGACGAGAAGATGCTGTCATTATCCAAGAGACACTTTCCTGTTTTTGTACTCACCCTTCTCCAAGCTTCTCCAACACATCAAACACTTCTTCAGGCTGCTTAGTCAAACTGTCTTCACTCAGCTTTTTTAGCTTACTGATAAGATTTAAAAAGAAAAGAAAGAAAATACTTTCCTTAAAAGCTTTTACAAAAAAATGTAATAAGCATATAATCAGGTGTTTAAAATCAAATAATATGAAAGCTATAAAGCAAACATCCAAGTGGTGTCCCTCATGTGCCTAGCAGCACACACTGATACAAACCTCTTCCATTAGCATAGAACTAAAAGGTTACTAATTGAACTTAAGCAAAGACCACGTCTCCGAAGTATTTGTCAAGTGAAAACACGTGATGTACTTTGTTAAACAATTCATGTTTTCTGCCGTTTGTTATTATTTCCTCTTTCTGGTATTTTAAATAAAAAACATCTTTTCATGTATGGCTTAATTTAAAATAATTTTTACATTGCCTGCTTTCAACACTCTTGGCTGAAAACAAGTTTTCATGTTGAGAAGTTGATCTAGGGCTGGAAGTACTGTTGTAGAATATGATTGTAAGGGGGTTACTTTTGTTTACACTGTGGAACATTGGTTTAATGATGTAAAGATGTGTTGCTTTTGTTTATGCTGCGATTGTTTAACTCTGTGAAGCTGTGGTTCTTTGTCCAGAACACCTGATGGTTTAATAAAGAGCGGAATGCCCAAGAGCAAGGCAGGAGAAAGGTAAGAGGGGCTGGCAGGTGGAGAGAATAGGAGCAAGAAAGGAGGAGAATATCAGGGGCCAGACACCCAACCAGACTCGGAGTAAGAGTGAATGGAAGATATACAGAAGTAAGAGAAGGAAAAAGCTCAGAGGTAAAAGGTAGTTGGAATAATTTAAGTTTAGAAAAGCTGGTAAGAAGCCAAGCTAAGGCTGGACATTTATAAGACTGAATAAGACTCCATGTGTGAATGATCTGGAAGCTGAGTGGTAGGTACCCCAAAGAGTAAAGACATAGTATAGAAATGGGATAAAAGAGTGGATTGTTGAGTCTACTTTTGAACAACCACTAGTCTCAAATATTTTACACTGATGTGGATTACTGTATGATATAAATTTAAAGTTATTTTTGTTATACTGTATATATGTTTCTATTCTTGTTTAAGGTATTGTACCTATGCAGTCAAACTTCCTAATAGTGCAATTCCCCAAGAGCCAAGCATTCAAACACATAAACTATGGAGGCAATCCTATTAAATCCTATTAAAACCACCACAGTTTGTTTTTCTCTTTATGTATGTGAGTACTTCACCATTCTGTATACACACACCACATGGATACCCTCAGAGGCCAAAAGAGGATGTTACATTCCTTGGAAATGAGCTGCCATCTGGGTACTAAAAACCCAAGAGTAGCAAGACCCCCTCTCACCCCAGCCACTTGCAGCAGGCAAGGCGGCAGACCCTCCAATTTACCAGCTGCAGCTGGAAAGTGGGTCTTGTACCTCATCTGGGCAGCACAGTAGAATTGTGGGATGGGAGACGGTGAACCAGACAAAATCATGACTTCAGAGATTTGGCACTGTCTCTCATCTGGCATATGGTGGCATGTGTGAGGAAGAGACACCCCCACCCTGCCACCTGAGGCCGGTGGAAGAGCTGGTCCTAAGCTCTAAAGAGCAGGAGAGCTGTCCCTATCCCTCACCAGCTGCAGCACTTGGGATAGTGGCCCGTGGCCCCTTCATCTCGCCTGGGCAACACATAGAGCCTGCCCTGATGGTTTTGGGGTTGATGAGCTAATCCTGAGGACATGAGAGCAGAAAAACCAGTCCTACCTCTTGCTCATCACTGCACAGGGCAAACTAGTCAGAGGCAATGCCAGAGAGCTCACCTGGTGGTGAGGACAGGGGAGAGCTAGTGGGCCGACCAACCCTGCATCTACCCATGCGCTGACCCACCCCAACATGCACCCCATCTGTAACCTGCTGGAGCACTTAAAGGGGCACCTCCTGCAGATCAAAGCTGCAGGACTCCATGACACAGGGCAACAAGAGAAAATCCAAGAGAAGCCCAAAGAGAGCCCAGCATTGATGGTGTAGCAGAAACCAGAGGACTCAAACCAGACCAACGACCCTTTGCAATGAATACTTGCAATTAAAGACATAAGGACTAATGAAAAAGAAAAGAGAGAGTAGCAAGCACTCATAGCCAGAGTTATCTCTCCAGCCACAGATTTTTAAAGGGTTAAAGAATGTAGCAGTGTTTAATGGTTCTTTTCCCACTTCCTGTATAATTCCTGGTGCCAGACATCTTGTCATGGAGGATGTGGACATTTGTGTATCTTCTTTAGAGAAGTTTTCTTTTCAAGTCCTTTACTCTTGATTCTTTTTGTCGCAACTTAAGGGAAAGTGGCAATGGTTCTCTATGTGTTTACAGAACACAGCAGAAAGGCTGTGAGGTCTAGATTCTTTGTCACTAAGATCCTCGCAGGCAGTGGGATTCACTGTGACCTTCTTTTCTTCTGTGCTGTCAATGGAAATGTCCCCATCTTCTTCATCTTACCGACTGTTCTTTTTCTCTAACTTGATAGGAGTTTGTCAATTCTGTCTTTTTAAAGAGTCAGCTCTTCGTTGACCTTTTGTATTTAGTTTCTATTTCTATTCCAGTCATTTATACTTTGCTACTTATGATCTATCTCTGTCAGCTAATTTGAATTTGTTCTTGTTCACCCAATGCTCTGAGCTGAAATCTTAAGATGTTTATTTGACATCTTTCTGTTTATTTTTTTATTTAGGTTACTTGCCCTAGTTGCAGCTTTTGAAGACATACAGGAGGCTTTCTATTCAGCCAGTTCTAGCTCCCCAGTCTCGGGCACATTGTCCGAATGCATACCTCAAAGCTGGAGGCTGCAGCTACATGTTGCTCAAGCATCACAGCACAGCACTTCTCAGGACCTGAGTTTGCTCTCTGCCATGGCTTTAGAATCAAAATATTCTCAACAAGAAACATTCTCTAGGCTATACACAGTGATAAATATGACTTGAATCTACAACAGCAAATGTCTTTTCTATGTCAACTACCGGAAGTACATTTTTATTCAACTAATAAAATTCAGGGGTCATTTTTTTCTGCTCCTTTTTGCTTTTCAGAAGCTAAACAATTTATAAATGTTCAGTAAATGTTTATCTCTAGACTCCTATGTACCCAAGTGAAAGCTGTCCTCGTAAGCCCTCGGAGAGTAATGAATATCCCTAAAGACACAGGCAATACCAGAACCCCATATTCTAAACATTTTGGAAATTATCTTCAAAGACATACACTTTACAACTTATATTTTATTTAATTGCCCTGTAGCCCCCAAAAAAGTACTATTACAGCCACCATTTTACAAATACACTAAGACAGAAAAGTACAATAGCTGGCCGGGCAGTGCGGAAAAGCTGTGGTTCCCAGAACTAAGTCCTACCTGACTCTGATGCTCAAGCACCGTGCTCCATAATGTGCTGACCGTTAGAAAATGTATCAACTCAGGGAACTAAGTTAACTATTGCCACTACAATGGCCTAAACCACCTAAGAAAACAGATAAAGTAGAAGAAACTTTCAGAAAATAAAAGTGTTGTTAGCTCTGTCTCCTCTCAGACTGGGCTCTTTGCCAAAAAAAAAAAAAAAAATCTAATAAATGATAGTTTCCTGACAAGGAGCTAAAAGAGAAAAGATTTGATTCCTTGATTCTTTTCTCTGCTTCCTCCCTAAACTCTGGTTTTGTTTTCTGAGAATGAATTTTACTAACAATCAGCTGGAAAGTGACATCTTTCCTTTTTAATATCTTATAAGAAACTTACATGAGGCTAGATATTCCCTGCCATGAAGCATTTTACTGCAGTCAGTTTCTTGGTTACTAATTTTCCAAAATCTGTAGGTCCAGAAAATATAGACAAAGCAGACTTGAAAATGCACACTGTAAATCCTCATTACACAAGGGCCATCCTCATTACACAGCAAGTTCAAGGCCAGCCGTGGCTACAGACATATTGACTCAGAGGGGAGCTTGCTTCTATATGACACTTACCACAGTGACCATGATGTGCCCGTGGATCCACCACAGAGGGAAGAACATAAGTTGTCAAAGGAACTCTTTTCACGTCACACCTAGTCCTCATTTACTCCCCCAAACCTCAAACACTAACCACTTATACATCACTGAAATAGCACCCAAGATCAACACCCAACAGAACCTTCACATCATTTCTGATTCAGTGCCGTATACAGGTGTCATGAACAAGCAGTCTGTACAGACAGACATCTCTCTGCTTGACCCCTCAGTGCTATCCAACTACACAGCAATGTCACCCAGGGTCACCTCTGCTGTGGGACAATCCTCTTGTACACTGCAAAGATTTGTCACTCTGATTGGTTTAATAAAACGCTGATTGGCCAGTAGCCAGGCAGGAAGTATAGGCAGAGCAACCAAACTCAGGATGATGGGAAGGAGGGCAGTCAGGAGGTGCCAGCCACACACAGAGGGAGCAGGAGATGAACATGCCTTGCTAACAAAAACACTGCCACCCAGCAGAGCATAAATAAGGAATGTGGGTTAAAGTATAAGAGTTAGCTAGTAACAAGCCTGGCCTATCGACCCAGCATTTACGGTTTATATTAAGCCTCCGAGTCAATTATTTGGAAAGTGGCTGCCAGGTATTTAGGAACAGGCAGGTGAGCAAAACGTCTGACTACACACTTCTCTATGTTCCACGGCGGTTCCATTCCTTAGAATCTTTTTAATCTCTAGAAAAACATATCAAATTTTGTTCAAAGCAATAAAATATCTTCAGTCTCTATAATCTAAACTATATAGGTGTTGAAAATGTAAGAACTCTAAAGTTCTCTACATTTACTTTGTACACAGATACCCTTTTAATTACAGAAGAAACAGCAAGCTAAACTCTATTCAAACCTTAAGGCCTAAAATCTGACATTACCAATAATAGTAAGTCTTTTATTTTTTCTAGACTCTGCACTTCCAAGTAGTTACCTAAAACATTTAAAGGTGAAACTGAGAGTTCAGATCAGAGTAAACAGAGAACAGTGAAAGTCTACAGTCTCTAGTGTGCCATGA